ATCACAAATCATCACATCACAGATCATCAAATCACAGATCATCACCTCACAAATCATCACATCGCAGATCATCAAATCACAAATCATCACCTCACAGATTATCACATCACATCATATCACAGCTCCGCTCAACATCAGCACACGCCTGCTTGTGTTCCAGAGCTGGCCGAGGCCTTCAAGGAATTCGATTACGATCAGGACGGCTATCTGAACTATAAGGATCTGGCCGAGTGCATGCGGACGATGGGCTACATGCCCACAGAGATGGAGCTGCTGGAGATCATCCAGCAGATCAAGATGAGGCGTCAGTATTTGTACTTGAGTAATATAATAAACTCAAGTATCATATATCAGCGTCTCAGGACACATGGTGTTTTTGTGTGTTCAGTTGGAGGTCTGATGGATTTCGATGATTTCTGTGAGTTGATGGGTCCCAGGATGATGGTGGAGACGGCGGATATGCTGGGACTCAAAGAGCTCAAAAGCTCCTTCTGTCAGGTACAAATACAACCACAAACACTCATCAGTCACTACATAGATCTACAGGTTACACTATATTATACACTGTTCAAAAGGTTTTAAAATAAATTAATACTTTTATTCATCAAGGACACATTAAATTGATCAGTAAGACATGTGACAGTAAGACATTTATAATATTACAAAAGATTTCATTTCAAATAAACGCTGTTCTTTTGAACTTTCTATTAATCTGTGAATCCTGAAAAATAAAATGCATCACAGTTTCCACAAAAATATTGTGCAGCACAACAGTTTTCAACATCTTCAAAATGTTTCTCGAGCAGCAAATCAGCATATTAGAATGATTTCTGAAGATCATGTGACACTGAAGACTGCAGTAATGATGCTGAAAATACAGCTGCGCATCACAGAAATACATTACAGTTTAACAGAGATTCACACAGAAAACAGCTGTTTTACACTGTAATAATATTTCACAATTTTACTGTATTTTTTATTTTAAAAAGCAGCCTTGGTGAGCAGAAGAGACTTTCAAAAACATTAACAAATCACAATGACACTCATTGCGTGTTTTTACTGAGGGGTTTGTTTAAATCAAATCAAATCACTTTTATTGTCACATCACCAACAGCAGGTATGTCGTGGTGACAGTGCAGAATACAATTGACACGTTTAACAAATAACAGTATACTTTTATGTACAGTATATACACTATATAAAACAATAAACATACAAACATAATACTTTTGTATATTTATTGTTATATATCATTCACACTGATTAATACAACATTTTACTCCTAAAAACATGGTGAAAATGTGTTAGTTTTCTGTCTGTTGACATTATTTTCTGATTTATGGAGTGATAAAAAAAGGAATCCAAACCCCGCTCTGGAAAAACCTACTGAATCAAACTACAGTTTTGAACCTGAGTGGATTCAGTGTTCAGATTCATGTGCTGGACTTGTATGCAAATTAGCGCATATTTAATTAGATGCCTCATTTGCATATTTGAACATAACATTTCACAACACAACTTGTAATGCAAAAACTGTAAAAAAAAAAAAAAAAAAAAAAAAGTGTGTCAAAATCAGTCAATTGTAGTATGGTGAATCTATTTTTTGAACCCTATTCATCCGTGATGTCTTGCTTCAAATGTAATCGAGCAGTGAATGGACTGTGTGTGTTTGTGCTCAGTTTGACGCTGACGGTGATGGGAAGATCTCTCTGGATGAGATGAAGGAGGCTTTGAAGACTCTGTTAGGAGAGAAACTCAAGAAAGGAGAGCTGGAGGAGATCCTGAAGGAGCTGGACCTGAACGGAGACGGAACCGTGGATTTCGACGGTGAGAGATAATAATAGTTTATAATATAATGACATGCTGAAATGGAAGCATTCAGGGATGTGAAGCAGCAGTGATCTGATGTTGTTGTCTCTTCCAGAGTTTGTGATGATGCTGTCGGTGCGATAACACCCTTCCTCATCCAACAGCAGACGATTCGGGGAAACCTGGAGATATCTGGGCTCTTGATTACTGTGTGCATTGCTCTATAGTTTTGCTCTACTCTATAGTATGTCATGGACTAGATGTTGGTCTTTGTGGACTAGTAACTATAATAGTTTAAATCTGTTCATTTTGTACACCGGTTCCTAACATACGAATGGAGGTTGCCAAGCGTTTTCTGTGAAATGAGTTCATGAATGTCTGGGAAAGTCATGGATATTAATTCTGGCCTGATCATAAAAGTGTGACTTCATCACAAACTAGCTTCAGGTAGAAAAAACAACTCCTTCGTAACATGTGTTCTAAATGTTTTACATGATTTGTTACAGTGATGCATTGCCGTGTGTAGATGACTGTGATTTAATGTAAAATACTGTACATGTGTCTGATGTGTAACTGTATAGAGGGATTTTA